CTCCATCTTTAAAAGGGGTTCCTGATGGAAACACTCCATCTTTAAAAGCAGTCCTGACGGGGAGTTTCCCAGTTTAAAAGTGATTCTTGTTGGAACTTTTTTTCCATTTGAAAGTATTTTTTAAGGATGTTTTCCCTGTTTCCCCAGATCCTGACAGATCACGTAGTGAACTCTGGGGCAGTCACACAAGAGCTCGGGGCTCGAGTCACTCTCTGCTGCCTCTCTGGCCTAGCTGACCTACTGCAAAGGTATTCGTCCCACAGCACACTGGTTACATTGGGCACATGTGAGAGAAATGGGGGCAAACTCCATGTAAGGGGGAGAGTTGGTTCCTGGCACATAACTCCACAAAAGACAGTTCCGAGGTCTTTGCCAGTTAACTGCACAAAACCGCACCCCCCGCCCCCCCCGCCAATCGAGAATCACCTCAAAGCCAAAACAAATGCTCATAATTCATGAATGTTAAATAGCCACACAAATGCCTACAGTGTGGAAGCAGGCCATTCAGCCCATACTGACCCTCTGAACTGCACGCGACACCGCCCCCCCCACCCTATTCCTCTGACCCCGCATTTCCCACAGCTAACCCACCCAGCCTACACATCCCTGGACACTACAGGGTAATTTGTCACGGCCAATCCACCCTAGCCTGCACATCTTTGGACTGTGGGAGGAAACCGGAGCACCCGGAGGAAACCCCAAACAGACACAGGGAGAATGTGCAAACTCCACACAGACAGTCGCCCAATAGTGGAATCGAACCTGAGTCCCTGGCGCTGTGAGGCAGCAGTGCTAACCACTGAGCCACAGGTCACCCATCTAGACCTTTATTGGGCCCAGGGTTTTCTCGATTAATAGGAACCCCCGTCTTTAATCCATAGGGAGTGTGAAATATCTCATTTTTCTTTATTTTTATTATTCATTCATGGGATGTGGGCATCGCTCACTGGGCCAGCATTTATTGCCCATCCCTAATTGGCCAGAGGGCAGTTAAGAGTCACCCACATTGTTGTGGGTCTGTTGGAGGAGAGGCTGGTAACCGAGAGCACCTCACTCTTGATTTGATTTATTATTGCCCCCTGTACCGAGATACAGTGAGAAGTATTATTTTCCATGCTATCGAGACAAGTCATACCTTAGATAAGTACATCCGGGTAATAGAACAGAATGCAGAATGTAGTGTTTGAGCTACAGAGACAGTGCAGAGAAAGATCAACTCTAATATATGAGACGTTTGATAAAGGTGAGGAAGAGGCTGTTCTTGAATCAGTTTGTATGTGTTTTCAAACTTTTATATCTTCTGCCCAACAGAGGAGATGATAACCGGAGTGGTAGGGGTCTTTGATGATGTTGGCTGCTTTCCCGAGGCAGGGGGAGGTGGAGATGGAGTCAGTGGATGGGAGGCTGGTTTGTGTGATGGAGTGGGCTGTGTTCACAGCTCTCTGTAGTTTCTTGTGGAATTGGGAAGAGCTGTTGCTGTATCACGCTGTGATGCAAGCAGATAGGATGCTTTCTATGCTGCATCTACAAAAATTGGTAAGATCTAGAGAACATGCCGAATTTCCTCGGCCTCCTGAGGAAGTAGGGGCGTTGCTGTTCTCATGGAATCCCTACAGTGTGGAAACAGGTCATTCGGCCCAACAGGTCCACACCACCCCCCTGAAGAGCATCCCACCCAGAACCGTTCCCCTAACCCTGCATTTCTCATGTCTAATCCACCCTAACCTGCACATCTTTGGACTGTGGGAGGAAACGGGAGCTCCTGGAGGAATCCCACACAGACACTCCATAGTCACCCAAGGGTGGAATTGAACCCAGGTCCCTAGCGCTCTGAGGCAGCAGTGCTAACCACTGAGCCACCGTGCCGAAGGATCAGAGTTGGCTGGATTTAAACTCAATCCATCAGTCTGGAATAGAACGCCACTCTCAGTAGTGGTGGCTATGTCAATTCTGGTCAGTTGTTGTAGAAACCCATCTGATTCACCGATGCTCCTTTAGGGAAGAAGATCGGTCATTTTTACCCTGTCTGGCCTACATGTGACTCCAGCCCTGTAGTAACATCATTGACTCGTTACTGGTGTTTGAGATAGCCTAGCAAGCTGGAGTTGGGACGTCATGCTGAGGTCGTACAGGACGTTAGTGAGGCCTGTTCCGGAGTACTGTGTCCAGTTCTGGTCTCCCTGTTATAGGAAGGATGTTATTAAACTGGAGAGGGTTCAGAGGAGATTCGCCAGGATGTTACTAAGAATGGAGGATTTGAGTAATGGGGAGAGGCTGGATAGGCTGGGACATTTTTTACACTGGAGCGTAGGAGGTTGAGGGGTGACCTTATAGAGGTTTATAAAATCATGAGGGGCATAGATGAGGTGAAATGCAAGGGTCCTTTCCCTAGGATTGGGGATTTCAAGACTAGGGGGCATAGTTATAAGGTGAGAGGAGAAAGATTTACAAAAGAATTTTTTTTAACATAGAGACAGGTTCGTGTATGGAATGAACTTCCTGAGGAAGAGGTACATTTACAACGTTCAAAAAACATTTGGGGACAAGCAGGTGGGACCAGTTTAGTTTGCGATTATGGTCAGCATGGACTGGTTGGGCCGAAGGGTCTGTTTCCGTGCTGTATGACTATATGACTTATATTCCATGAAAGAATTATACCAAAGCACTTTCAGCTGTCTAGCAGAAAGGCTCTATATAAATGCAGGTTTTTCTTGCTATTTCGACGTAAATCCCCAAAGTACATAATCTCACTATGAGACAACAAGGTGTACAGCTGGATGAACACAG